ACTGGAATGAATTAAAATTGGGGACAAAAGCAGGTGAGAGGAAGTCAGACAGTGTGTGTGAGCATGGCGCCAGCACCTGTACTTGCATTAGGAAATAGAAATAGGCAGTGAAGGAGTGTACATGGGGGGGGGGGGGGGGGGGGGGAGTGATTCATTTCCCAGCATGCAGCTGGTACAGTATTGCCCTCTGCGTTGCCCCCGGCCAACACCTGCCTCCATTTCGCTTTCTCCGCCCTCCCTGTGCCGAGGAGCAGCGGTGAACTCTGGGCCCCCTGACTAATGGAATGGGCCCTCTCTTCCAACCATTAGACGATTGGTGTCCCTTTCCGCGGCCCTGGGTGCCCTATGCTTCAGGAAAAGGGAGTGAAAGGGGGCGAGGGAGAAGTTGGTGCCACGTTGGCCTTTTTTCCTTTTGCCAGAACACCTGGCCAGAACATCACAGCCTGGAGTAATCCAGCCAGTGTAAGGCTTCCACGTAGCTTAGCTTCTGACTGAGGCTGTTTCTGAGAGGATATTAGAAATTGTGAATTGGGCGCAGCGCTACAAGGTTCCAGAGAAGAAAGTCTCTGAATGTGCACGAATGATCGCGAGGTGTTTGTGTGATTTCATTTAGCCGCTAAATCCAGTGCTCTGCCTCAATTAGCCTACATCTGCTTTGCTCAGATGGAAAACCCACTGTGTGAGTACAGAGGGGGGGAGGGAGGTGGTGGGGGGGGGGGGGGGGGATTGAGGATTGAATCTCTCGATGAGCTGATAGCACGTCTGCAGACAGCGAGCCAAGCTGTGCCGCTGTAATGTTATGCTAATGGTATGGTAATGATATGCTAATCTTCCGTCAGTATTCCACCTCAACGGAGAGAAGGGGAATCTGGGAGGCCTTTCACCATTGGTTGGAGACCGGGGACTTCCTGGTGTCAGAGTTCAAGACAGAATCACGCAGACACACACATGCACACACACACACACACACACATACTTAATTCTTGAAGCAGTCATCTCAGCTCAAATAAAAACAATGCCACACGCAGACCTAATCTGGCTCTAATCCGATTTGCAAAGTCTTAAGTAAGCAAGTAATAATACCTGTATACAATGCGAAGTCATGTGATGTTACTTCAAACTGGGGCGGCTGGATTGTAAGTAAGCCTGGAAGATAAGATGATACTTTCTAATGTATTTTGTATTTTAATCATCACGTAATATCAAGTCACTGTGCTGTTGTTCTGTGCATCCGACAATCATCTATTTGAGATCACGATCAGGTTCCTTTTTCCTTTGTCATTGTGTGAGAAACCCTGCACCTGTAATGGCTGCCATTACCTGCCTAGTCAAAGCGTCTCTTTCTCCTGGGCTCATAATGATTGCATTAAACCACCACGTCCTTGTTTTGGAGATGAGACTCACCATTGTGTAACAGCAATCTTTGAATCCACGTCAGTATACTGACACATAATTACAAGCGAGGGATCCTGGGTGCACTGCATTGTTTTGTCTCTTTATTTAATGTTTCTACATTTCACTGCATCATTGAGAATGAGCCGATTTACCCTCCAAAAAGGAATCTATCAGCCATCTTTAAACATTTCTAAATGAGCAAGCTGTAAGACAAGTGAAAGATAAACGTAGATAGATAAACTCCATCTCCCCGACACATTTAAAAATCATAAAGACTGACAGGAAACGCTTCAGTGCACCTGCAAAATAGCAACTGCAATGCATCACAGTAAATCTGTCCGTGTGGCATAAAGACATCATCGCGGGTATTTCGCTTTGTTTTTCTTTGTGTTTCACAGTTGCAAAATGGATATGTCAATCCTGCACAATGGAGAGACGAGATGACATTTTCCTGGATGCTGTACACTAAATCAAAGAGACCAACAATATGTTGAGTGCCAGCATGGAGACATTTGATTCCCATTCCACTCATGCGGCATTACCACTGGAATGCCAGCAGACATCACAATCCTCCCCGAGCCGGCGCAGGGGCTGCTTGTCAGACTTTTCATTCCACTTCAATGTTTAAAAAATATATATATACGCATATTACAGCAAATTGTGAAGCGTCTGATTCTTCTTGATATTAGGATATTTACAATGGGCTTGACTTAACAAAGGCGAGTTAGTGTCAGTGACATTTAGCATCAGCCTCTGGCGACAGACAGGTAGAAGATGGTAGTCAGCAGATTGGACCTGGGGGGATCGTGAGAGTGGGGGTTGCTCAGGATATGGAGGTGCTGGGTTGGACACCTTATTAACATACAACATGCTTACTGCATATCCTTGTCAATGGATTACTACAGAATCCCAGCACAGCATCTTTTCACTGGTTTCTACACGACATGATTTCAGTACAATTTCACAAATGTGAAATCACATTATAGTCTGACCAAAAGGGGTGTAACGATACTAGATGTGGTACGGTGTAATGATCAAAAATGCACTATTATCATCGATGCAACCAAACAAAAGGATCATCATCCCTTAGATGAAATGATGTTCTCCTTCCTAAATATCTCAACATTGCATAGGCACTGATTTCCACAACACTACTCGAATACAGCTTCATTTTGCACAAGAAAAACCACAATACAAACCAACGATGGGGGTGCAATGATACATTGACATGGATCAAGTGAGGATATTTAGATGTGGATTCCTTTTAAATGATCATACATTGGAAAAACATAACATATCATTATCTTGTAGATACGCTTTTGTTTTTGAAAGGCCCATGGATCGTTTGTGTCACTATTTCAATCGGTTCCTAAGCATTCAAACACTGCCTAAACAAGGCATATCATCACAATATAAACCAACAGAACATTGATATGGTCCATATCATCTTTGAGATGTGCTTTTCTTTTTGAAATAACCATGGAAACAGCTTTTCAATCCTCCTCCCTTACAAACATTGAATAAATATAAGAATAGGGCACTTCATAGTAAACAGGCCAGTTTTATACTTTTTGATAAAAATGCATTGAAGGGCTCATTAATAACATTTTCATATTAAGGGCTGCTTTTTGTAAGTTTGATTAAATGTAACTGGTTATGTTAATGTGTCATATGAGGTTGTCTTATATTGCAGACAAAACTTGTGATTTACCAACTAGGGTTGCCAGAAACTGACCATGATCAAAATCGATTATTCGGCAGCCCTGGCGAATAATAATCGATTATTCGATCGACAAAAGGAATTCCGTTGTTTTCTTTACTGGAACATGTTTAACAGTACAAACAACAAACATGCACGCATGTCATCACAACGACGTGGCCTTGAAGTGAAGTTGGTAATGGCCGGCTGTGCTGCGTCTTTCTCTGTAACCTCTTTGGCGTGCTTCGCACTCAAATGCGAACGCATTGTTGAGGTTGAGCTGTGATAGACCAACGTCTTTTCGCAGAGCTTGCATTTAACTTCCTTTGGACTTGTAAGTTCGAAGTAGTTCCACGAGGAGGAACTCTTTTTACCTGCCGCTTTGTTCATCTTTAGTCGCACGTGTGAGGGAGAGGGGGGGTGGGGGCGGTGTGTCGCGTGCTGCAGCAGCAGTCTGCTCTGCACGCAGGCTTCCTCCAAGTTTACAGTAAAACAAACTGGTGGTGTGACCAATGGCCATTTACAATTATTAATACTATTACTATTATTAGCATTAGTCTATATTTTGGTTGAAACTAAGCCAGAAAAAGAAAAAAGAACACATAAATAATAATAAAAAAATATATAAATAAAATCGATTTTAAAAATAATATTCGATTATGGAGACTGTAACGAATATTCAAATAATCGAATAATCACTGGCATCCCTATTACCAATCTACTAACACAAATAAAGTTAGTGTATATATGTTTTTATACTGAAACGTTTTTCTTGTGTTTTTGTAATTCCAAGTGGCATGGAGGGACTATCAGTGGTGTAAGAGCAGAAAGAAATGCAGGGAGAAGCAGAGGTGTTTGTGTGCATACATGAGGGACAATGAGAGAGAGACATGCAGAGAGTTAGACAGAGACGGGGGTGGACTGTCCAATACACTCCTGATAAAGGTCACAGAGATGTTTTATTCATGATCCAGGCAGCAGCAGTGGCAGCAGAGGGGCCAAGGTTGAAATGAGCTTGCGTCCCCGTTCCCCAGGGCCAGCGCTGCACACGGCCTCACACCGGGCCAGCAGACACGGTCCCCTACTCCCCTAACTCTTATCAATAATGCCAAAACGCATACACACACTCTTTCAGTATCACTCATCAATAACTCCAATCAGACTGTTCTTTTATTGATGGAGGAACAAGCACCTGCTCCCAAAGTTCATTCTTTTAAACATGCTTAAGTGATGCTAAATTCTTTTAAGGGGACTCTTGGAGACTGTAGGTGTGACGTAATGTGGGATATTCAGACAGTCAGAAAAAGTTCCTTTCAAAATATGTTATGCCCTTGAACAGCCTCTTTGAACTCGCCCTTACAAAAGAAATACAGTATTCCAGCTATCCAAGACCCGCTCAGAGCCTTTTATACATTCTTTTCCTGCAGCAGAGAATTTCTTTTTTTAAGGGAGCTGACACCATTTCAGACTCAACACCCAAAGTAACCTTTAAAGTATTGATGTGGATAAATCACATGTAGTCTTCTGACAAATGGAAAGATTTCACTATGACAGATTAAAACTCAGGCAAATAGGTAAAGACCCAATCATCTCTGAAGACATTCAACTGGAGCCTATTCCACATATTGGAGTTTCTCACAGGCGTGAACTGGTTAGATAGGAGTGTGTATGTGCATGTATGTGTCTTTATATGTGTGTCACTGTGTGTAGACTCTAGTGCCTTTGATCAGATATGAAATATTCAGAAAGGCTGCTGTAATTTGATGAAAGTCAGATATCCCTCAAATAGGAAACAGAAGTCAGCACTTTGGAAGCTCTTGAAAAAAAAACTCAGTAACAGGGAAATGTAAGATCCAGGCCTATATATGCGGAGGCAACAACAAGGGGCTTTTAAACATGCACTGACCTGCTGTATGAACTCCAGTGTGTGCTGCTCAGCCAGAGCTCTGGCGGCTCTGATGCCTCTGTCCATTTGCACCGCATAGAAGACGTGGCGGTTGGTCCCACTATGCCCCTCTGTGGTCACTAGCTTCATCTGCATCAGGCAGACAAGCACCAGCACAACTGCACTGAACATGGAGCCTGTACAAAAGAAGGACTGATTAGTTACCAAATAGTTGTAGAAAATGCAACATTTTACTTAAATGCAAGTCCATAATGTATATTTTAGGACAGTCTTAACCCACATTACTTCTTTATAAATGATATTAGAGTGTGTTCCTAGAAGTAAAACCAGTTTAGAAGTGGTGCCGTGATGAAGTATTTATTCAAGCCAACCTTGATGTTAGCATGGCCAGAAAAAAGAAGTCCTTTATTCCATCGGCTGTGACTCTCCTAAATAACAGTCCGTTTAAATAACTTGACTCAAACTTAAGCCCCCTTTTCAAGCCTAAAGGATCCTTCTTAGGACATTCTGACACCAACACCATCATCTAATCTGAATGTACTGTATAGTAAATGATTTATTTTAAATACAACTGATATTTGAATGGACATAAGCCATTCGAAAAACAAAACCCTCAGTAATTGTATTAAGACAAGCCACTTTGTCACTTTAGGTAATTTCCCTATTTGTGTGTGTATAAATTGTGTGTTGTTCTGTGTATGGTGAGTGTTGCTTTATTTGCCAGTGCCAAAGACACAATTCCATTTCACATAGATTTGATTGACAATAAAGTAATCTGAATTACAACGGATCCCTCAGCAAAAAGGATTGGGATTTTTCCATTGGATTTCCAAAAATTGCAGAAAACAAGATACTGTATGTGGTAAATTAACGTTTATGATACTTGTTTTGTTCAGCAGAATCATCTCCACTTCAGGTTGATGATGTTTAGTAGTTTCATTAGGTAACTTATTAGCAACTGCTGTGTTTAAATGACACATAAAAGATTCAGACATTTACGATTTGGCTAATGACATATTTATTGGGTATTTGATGTTGTGGAACAACTCTTTAACCTTTTTTTAACCGAAATGTTTGAGCTCATTCCTGCACCATTCATTGAAAGCCTATAATAACACTGTATAGTTATTACAGTAAATCATATATTGATATCATCAAACATAGTATCAAGAAAGCATGACGGTAAGGGTGAAACTCATGACTATTCCATTTTCCATTCATTATTTTTAAAAGTAGAAATTGTGAAAAATGCCCAACATGACATATTCATATTGCAAATGTTGTCCTATCTACACTCAAAAACACAAATATAATAAGTGTATGTATCATAAATGATTATGAAAAGCATCACATCCTCATATTTGATAACCTGGACCCAGACCGAAAAGACAAACAAATATTTACTCTTTTACATTTTTCAGTTCTAAACTTATAAACAAAACTTTCCAGAATCCCACTGGATGCTCTCTCCCTAAAATAAAGTTTAAAAACTGACATTATTAATATCCACATTAAAAAAACACAAACACCTACGATTTTAAACCTTAACACAACACTCCAAATCCCATCTAACTACACACATGAGTTTAAAGAGTGTGGGATTCAGCATCTCTGCGTTGGCAATTGTGAAGCAATTTGCCCACAGCCACCTCCTCTGTACTCTTGCACAAAATCCACAGCGGCTGCCACCTACATCATGCGCACCACCCACCTGTAGCCGGAGTGAAGCGTCCAGGAGAAATCTTTCACCCAGTGCGATGAAAGCTAGAACTCTGGCATCGGGGGGCCCCGAGCTAGACAACGCACTCTCTCCAGTTCCCAACCCACACGTTTAATCTCCTGGCCTTGATGCAAATGCTTCTGAGAGCAGAAAGGCAGCGGCGCTCTCATTGTGTGAACTAACTTCCCTCTTTAAGCAAAACAGGAACTTTATCAGGCTTTTCTATGCCTGCGCTTTCCTGTGAACTGTGATAGAATGACAGGTTGTCACCTCTCTTCTCAGTGACTACTTGACAAGAAGAAAAAAAACACTCAGACCATAGGATGAATGCATTATTGAAGAACATTAATTGCTTACACTCCCACTCCTTCCCACAGATTACATTTACTGCTGATCCACGAATATTGTCAATATATTTGTATATTTAATACAAGTGAGTTTATACATAAAGTTATTAGAAAAGTGATTTTATAACTTGTTAGTAAGTTTCTTTCCAAATACACACATAGCTCTTAAACAACAAAAGGCTGAATTTCTTAGTAGCTATTTGGCAAAAATGTCATGGACAACCATTCCATCTTTTTTTGACAGGAGTTTAAGTTAAAGTGAAAGTGCTAAAAAAAAATGATGTTTCATCTTCATAATTGTGCGGTTTTTGTGTGAGTCCTCAAGATGTTCAACTAACGATTTTAGGGTTTTAGAATGTTGGCGGGAAACTTGAGCTTCTGTAAATAGTGTTGGACATTTTTTTACTTATTTCTGACATTTTCACACCAAAAAAAAAAAAAATCAATTATTATGAAGATAATCAACTGATTAATAAATAATTTAAGCAATTGTTAGCTGCAAAAGTACATCATTGTTACAATTGAATCTATTGATCTTTGATGGATTGTTAATTAACGTTTGAAGCAAAGTGCTAACATTTTGATGTTCCAGTTTTTCAAATCTGCCAATTCAGTCTCCATGACATTTCAAGTCACCCTATTATGCTAGTTTTTGGTTTTCCCTTTCTTGTAGTGTGTTTTATAGGTTTGTGTGCATGCAAATGGTCGTCAAAGGCTAAACATTGACGTCAGAGGGAGTTTCTCTCCCACTGACTCCAATGGACTCCTTTGTTTACTTCCATAACATAATGACATTGCTATGTAACACTCACACTTTACAGACACATTTCCAAGCTGATGACCAATCACAACAGAAACCGGGCACAACCGTATGAGACAAATAAACCCCCAAAAAATAATCAAAATTAATTGAGAAAGTAATCTTAACATAATTAATAATGAATACAATTGCTAGTTGCAGCCTTACATCATTGTTCAAATGGAATCTATTGCCTGTAATCTCTGTACTTTTTGGAACAAATTCTGCAATTTCACTCCCACTAACACACATTGGAACTCCAAACTGGAAGATTGAGATCTCTCAATCCATTTAATTCTGTTTGTATGTTTATCTGACTTCTCTTCAAAAGCAAAGTGCCTCCTCCTGCAGCATTTCCCCCCCCAAACATCAAGGAGTGCTTCTGACCACCGTTTAAAGTCTACAGCATCCTTCAGCTCCAATCTCCCAAGCCGCTGATTGAAATCGATAACCTCACTTGGGGCTCGGGTCCTAGTCAATCCCACTGGAGGTGCAGGGCCGGCGGCGTGCACCCCAACCAGCGAGGAGTGGGGCCTCAGGCAGAGATGGAGTAGACAGTCAGAGAGGGAGGGAGCAAAGGGTGAGCGCATGAGTACAGCAGAGCCACATTGAACAGTGTCAGGGCCTCGGGGCCTTCTGGGACGCTGATAAAGTACCTGGACATTTTTATAGACAAACTACTTATTTCCGTCCTCATATCGCTCGGGAAGACTGATAACTTTATATTCCTCCCAGGCAGATGAATGAAAGGAGGAGGGGGGGGGGGGGCTTTCAGGAGTTTAATTGATCAAACTGTAGCCACAAGGGTTTTTTTCTGGAGATAAAAGAGACTAGCTCTCCCTCTGTACAATGCAGAGATCTTTTAGAAAGCAGACCCAATGAAAAAAGAGAATGTAAGTCATTATGCAAAGTCATTACAAGCCTCTGACTATACTCTTTAAAGAGATGGTGTTAATGGTGGAATTGTATGTACAGGATTTCCAGAGGTCAAACCTCTGGTCGTAGGATAACATTATTTTACAATGTCCCGATTTTTACTCTAACCAAACTTATAGACGGCTGTTTTGAGGTCAAACTATTTTAAGAGTCTGACAACAGTAAAATATCATGCATTACTGCTCAGAGGGCAACAAGGGGTAAGCCAGGGCCGAATTCACCATATACATTGGTGGGGGACACATCCCCCCCAATATTCAGATACGCTCAAAATGTCCCCCCCAATAATATATAGCCTAACTCAGGGGTCGGCAACCCGCGTCCCTCGAGCCGCATGCGGCCCTTTAAGCCCTCTGCTCTGGCTCCCTTGAGCTTAGACAAAAATAAGAAGGAAATAAAATAAAAGTATTTGTAGGACTATTTATATTTTCTTGCATGGTTGAAAATGTTTCGTATCTTGTATTTTGAGGTGATACTATGACACATAAATAAAAAACAAAACGGTTTTAATTAGGTCAACTAAAATATGCGTCACATCCTGCTACGGTCCCGCGCTAGCGCCTTTTCTTGGAGGCGAATAACCTGACCCCCGGCTCGATGAGCGAACTATGGATAAATCAAAGAAAAGTACCGGAGGAACACAGGATTTAATTCTGCGTGGACAGAGTTATCTGCTTTCACAGCAAACGATGCTGGTTTACCGGTATGTTTGATATGTAGAGAGAAGTTGTCAAAGGTGCTGCAGCCTTTACGTATCGAGGAACAACACGGGAGAGGAAGACAGCTGACGATCTTCAGTCATAATTCAATGGGGTATGTAATTTATTTCAGAAAACACTTTTTGTTATATTCCATGGAATGCTCTTAACGTCCCGATAGCAATGAATACATTAAATGCTTGACAAAAAATACATAAACATTTTTATCTCTGGAAGCCGTAGCGCTGTAAAAAGCACGACCAATCATTTTAGCCGGCCCAGCTAAAGTAACTGGATGGCCTACCTGCCTGTCAGCCTTCCATCTGTGCACAAACTTATCTCGTGCCCTGATTGGTCATGTGCGCGTTCGTGTGTTTTGGAGGAGGGGCTCTGTAAGGAAGTCTGAAGGAAGAGGCATATTTTTTCCGGTTGTGTACTTTCAAATTCTAGCGCACTTGAGCTCAGTGGCGTAGCGGAGGCCCCCGCACCCCCCGCGGTGCAGGGGAGCCCGGGAGCTTAGGGGGCCCCGCCCCCCCTGTAGGCTATCCTCTTAGAGTTCGTAACGCGGGAACAGGGCGCAGAGGGCGGGGCCCCCCCCTCCCTTCTATGTTGCTACGTCATGTGTACGCTGCCTGTAGTAGTACAACAGTGTATCATTATAATTATTTGCTCACCT